GTAAACAATGAGATTTTAAATTGGGTATTTTGAAAGTCGTCAACAAAAGGAAATCTTTGACGTCAAAGAAAATAGAGATAATTTTTAAACACAAAATTTGTTAACGAAAACATTATTGTTTTAGATAAGCGGCCGATTGTCGAAAGGGATGTCAAACAAAATTTGTTTGTCAATGGACGATCGCTTTGTTTGAAGGTCGCTGTCGTATCTCCAAGGTTGGAGAAAATAATTAAATGATGAATAAGATTTAAGGTACGGTAGGAGATAGGCTAAATACATATAAACCGTACGCTTAGTTAAAGCCAGCAGTTGGAGCGATAGACACAGACGACACAAGAATCCCACGTGACCTACTGTCAAGAGAATTCCCGAAGAGCATCTTGTGTGAACGTTTTGACCCACTCTAGATTTTAGAATCAACAGGCACAGTGTCACGATAGAGAGTTTAACGGGAAGGGTTACTTTTGTTGTGTCAACGACTATATAAACCAATTTAAAATTAACCCAGCGACCTTCTTCGCTATTTGTTATGTTGTTTATACTTTCACCAGAGGAAGTGTTCTTTGTTCTTTTGTGGCATGTTTCCGCCATAGCTCGGTTCAACGCTTAAGTAGAGATGAAAATTCGATCTTTACCGCTCTATGATCCAAGAATACAACGTGGGGCTAAGCAGATAAATTAAACGAAGAGGTCAGCAAATAACCATCAGTTGACCTGTGACAGTACTGAACAGCGTGGGATGGACTCAGGATCGAGTAAGGCCAGCCGTGTTACAGTATCACTAAACCATAATTATCTCCCCACAAAATCTTACATCTTAAAAATATTTTCTGGCATAATTAAGCTGCAAAAAATTCTTCTTATGTTGTTGCTGCTGATGCTGCTACAATGCACTTTCCTCCTATTTTGATTTTGTTCTGCTCATAGCTGGCACCTTAACAGGTGATACTACTCTGGGTCAAGTTTGACACAATAGTGAAGTTCTCTAGACACTCAGTCCTGAAAAAAATTTAAGTTACACAGTGAAATGAAAAGTTAAATGAAGAACTTGTAAAATGTTCTCTCGTATATAAAAAACATGCATGGAAGAATTATTACCGCTAAGTAATAATAATAATAGTAATAATAATAATAATAATATATATATATGTCGGTGAGTAATTTCCATTCCTTTGTTTTCTCGGTACGTTGATAAAGGACACAGGCGTGTCCGAAAATTCCGAACATAAAGCCTCCGTACTTCATATCTGTCATATGGTTAATAATTAATATTTAATAAATTTTTATTGCACTGATTATATTGGTATCCTTTCGTTTGTTCTCGTTTTATTAACTAACCTATTTATATATATATATATATATATATATATATATATATATATAACTGTAATATATTACTATTTATTAACTAACCTAACTATTTTACTAATTATATATTTTTACTAATTATATATGTAAATATATATATATATATATATATATATAGAGAGAGAGAGAGATCATTATATATATATATATATATATATATATATATATATATATATATATATATATATAAAGACTGATCACAAAGTCGCCCTATCATTTAAACTGTGCTAATTTTATACTTATTTACCAAATTAAATGTCTTACGGCCTTATCACCTTGAAACAACTATTCTCGTAAAACCACCGAAGTCTAGATGGCTAATCGCTTGGGAAGCCCAGATACACGTATGTTCGTCTGGTGTCTTAGATAATGGCTCGGAATTGGTTCGAGTTACAGTTAAGTTCGTTATACTCATTTACGCGCAAATACCTTGGAAAATGTATGAATCCTTCTTTTTTCAATTTTGGATATCGGTTCAGGAAAGTCCTTTGGTCTTACCTCCGCTGGATCAGTGTATATGAGCGGAAATCGAAACCGATGATAACATAAACAGGAAATGCATCCGGTAGTTAAAATAAACAGGACGCAGAGGTGTCCTGAGCTGAAGGAATGCGTGCTTGCGTGAGCTCATTCCGGAAGAGGCGTCGCCGCATATA